GGGGGGGGGGGGGGGGGGTCGCGCTATGCGAGCGTGTGTACAGAGCCGGTCTGTACAGTGGGGCACTGCCAGCCAGGGATGAGAGAGCAGAGGGGGGCAAGCCGACTTGCAGCCGCGTGGAGCACGCATAGGCACCGAAAGGAAAAGCCTTGGCAGCACAGGGGGTAGGGCTGGAGGGTGGGGTCAGGCTGTAGGTGACCCCAACCTTTGCAGGCCGGGCTTTGCTCTTGCAAAACCATGCTGCTCTGTCCCGACTCCGAGACCCCTTGAGCCGCCTGCTCCCGAGGGCTGCACAGCAGTTGTGGGCTTGCACATGGGAGGCTGGATCCACGTTGTATCCTGAATCCCCCCCAGCTGCTGCAGGACCAGGCAGCTAAAGGGGCCTCGGCCCCCCCACAAAGCGAGACCTCTCCCCTGCAGACCAAGGACTCGCGGGGAGTAAGTGGAGAGGTGTAGCAGGGACTGGCAGCCAAGGGCACCTCCATAGCAGGCCAGAGTCCTGGTAACAAGATCCCCTTAGCAGGAGCCTGGTCTCAGGGCCTAAAAGGGAAGGAGCCCAGGCAGACATGGGGCTGCTCAAGTTGCAGAGATACCCGTTGGCACAGGGCCGAGCCCTGGCCAGAGGAACAAACAGAGGGGGATCAGCTTAAGCGACCCGTCCGAATGGGATTTGCAAGCACGTGATTCTCCAGCCAAGCCGTCCTGGAGACATAGCACCTTTGTCCCCATCGTGGCAGCCCCTCATTCTCGAAGAGCCTTTCCCAAAGCTCCCAGGGCTGGGATCTTGCTCTTTCGTTCCTCGCGCCAGCTTGGTTCCTGGAAGGCGACTGTGCTCAAGCCACGTTTTGGGGCCCACACAAGCCACCCTATTAACAGTCAGCTCAGGCCGCCCCCCCGAGCCAGCCAGCACAGTGGGAATTAGCACCATGTCAAACAAAGGGTATTGCTGTCTCAATTCAAGCAAGAGCAAAACGCTGCCTAGCACAGCTGGGGATCGAGCGGGCTCTGCTCTTGCTAGTGCCCGCATCAGCTCAGAGTAGCTTCTGGGGAAGCTAGTCCCGATTCACACCCTGTGACCCAGAGCATAACCCGGCCCGAGGTCTGCAGAGCATCAAGTACAGGGTCAGAGCAACAGGAGCTCAGAGCAAACATCACCTCTGCACACCCAGGGAAGGCAGCAGAAAGAGCCCCCGTGATCTGGGTAGGGGCTGGCCCAGCCTGGGGCAGGGGAAAGCCAAAGTGCCCTACAGCAATCACACTTCCTCACGGCCTGGTATAGCAGGAGCCCGGTGGGGACCAGAAAAAGGTGGGTCTGGTTCCCTGCTGGTCAGCATCTCTCTCAATGTAATGGGAGGGGGGGTGAAGAGGCAGCTGGTCCCAATTTGCTAGTGCCAGCACTATCAGAGCGGTGGAGCCAGCCGGCAGGTAGGGCAGCGGTGAGGCCAAGCATCCTATGCAGACAGGGAAGGACCAAGCTTGGCTCCTTAGTCCCTTGGGTGGGGGGAGAGGGGTGTCCTGCCCCCATTGCTTGGGGTTGGATCAGGTCCAGCCAGGGGAGGTCTGTGCTTGCAAAACTGGGAGGCCAGGACTTAGCAGTGGGTTAGGCCCTGCCCTACCCCAGCCCCCGGGGGCCCTGACTTTGATGGCAGACACTATCTGCAGCTCATTTCCCACTCAAAAAGCCTAAGCCCTGGGGACACCCAGAGAGCAGCCAAAGCCCTGCCGTGCCCAGCGACTCCCACAGGGGCTCTCACCCCAAGGTGGGGGGTCACCAGCGTGAGCACAGAGCAGGAAGCAGGGGGATCAGAGCCCAGGAGCAGAGATGTCCTTGCCCCCCCGCCTGCATCACAAAGCTACCTAACCTGTCCCTTGCCGGTGCCCCGACCATCCGCCCCCGAGCGCTGCAGAGCTGGTGTGGCTGTGCACAGACTTCAGCAGCCTGACATCCTCCCTCCCCACCCAGCAAGGCGAGGGAAGCACCATCCTCCACCCATTGCACACAGAGATGGAGCTAATTGCCCATGCATGTGACTGGTTCTAGCAGCCAGTCACCCCCACCGCTCTGCATAGGTCTCCACAAGGTTAAACCTCTTTCCTCACCCACCCCTGCCCAAACACTCGGTCCTTGCTTCCCTAGTTGTCAGATTATCATTGCATCAAATAGCAGCTGCTTCTCACTGGATGAGGCCACGTGCGAGGTCCTGCCCCAGCGTGTGGTGCTGTGTGCTCACCAGCGCAGGGGTCCCCCCCGCCTGCCCCACACGCGGCTGCGATGCTCAGGCGCTGCGGCAATAGCTGCAGGACACTCGCGACCTGTCCAGTGCATCACGGAGCAGCGGGGCTGATGGACCAGCGGCATCCGCACCCAGAGCCCAGCCCTGCCTGACCATACGTCCCTCCCACCCCGCCACGACACCAGCAATGGGCAGTGCCAAGGTGTGCTCCCCCTGCCATGCATTCCCGGCCTGCTGGGAGCCCAAGGAGCCCCACGCCCCCCAGGCCCAGGATCAAACGTCCGTCATCTCATCCTCCAGTTCCGCGTCATCCGTCTCGCCCTCCAGCTCCTCGTCCTCCTCTGATGTCACATCGGGGTCTTCGGCTTGCGCCAGACACCTGGGGCACGAGCAGGTGAATAGGTAGTTTTCCCTGCGTGGGGTGGGAGGAGAAAGGAAGCCATGTCACAGGCAGCACTAAGAGCTTCCCACTCGAGACAGGGGGCTCCTGCCTCTCCTAGGAGCCGAGAGGGGCCCAGAGAGCAGGGCCAGCACCGACTCCATGCAGCACGTGCACATGCCCATCCTGCTCAAGCACTGTGTGCATGCTGCAGGGGGGTGGTCATAGTGCATGCCCACATACCAGAGGGCTGCATGAGCACACCCGCTGCACACGCATCCTCTTGCCCGTCAGGCTGAGTGCAAAGGCATCACATGCCACACCACACCAGCCACCCTCTCCCTGTCTGGACACAGCCCTGCTGCCACACTGCATGCCCACTGTGGGTCGAGGCTTGCACAGCTGTGGCAACAGCTGTCCTGTAACACAGACAGGCCTGGAGAGGTGATGGCAGCAGGAAACACTGCCCCCAGGACGGGGATGGCGTGGAACAGCTCCTGGCTTTCCCCAGTGCCATGGCCAGCATGGCTGGGGGGGAGAGGGATGTGTCCACACGTGTGTGTGCACACGTGTGTATGCTAAACCCACTCTGCTTGGCTGGACTGAAGGGCACATGGCTAGAAGATGCAGCTGCATGCAAAGAAAGGGTGAGCTGGTGGACCCTGGAAGAGGCAAGGATGCAGATGGGCATTCAGCTGCAGAGCTGCCTTGCAGCCCGCAGGAATCCCCCTGCCCCTCCCCACGGCTCCTTCTACCCCGGGGTTTTCTTCCCTGACAGGTGCCTGGCCCTACCGGAGTATCTTGTGTCGGCTGTGCCTGCTCCGGTCCCGCTGGCAGCACTCCAAGTAGCTAATGCAGATTTCCTGTGAAGGCAAGGGAGAGGCAGCCCCAGCTGAGACATGTCCCATCAAATAAACGCCTGGTCCAGGACAGAGAGGGCAAAGGGGGCAGGAGGCTCTTTCCAAGACAAACCCAGCCATTCCCTCTGGACAAGGCACCGAGACAGGATGGAGCCCAGCGGGCCTTTCTGCAAGAGGTGCAATAAGGGGGCAGGACGGCAATCTGTGGG